TCAACCCTACGACTACACAGTCAACTATGTTCCTGGCAAGAAAATACCTGTCCCAGACATGCTCTCCAGATCACCACTCCCAGGGCCAGAAATACCTAATCTCGATGTGAGCATCGGATCACTTGCTCACATGACAACTAGTCGTCTGGAGAAGGTCAAAGCGGCAACGCTTCTTGACCCATTACTTCAAAAGCTCACTCGTCAGGTCATGATTGGTTGGCCCGAGCACCGACAAAATTGTGAATCTAGCCTTCACCAATTTTGGAACTTTCGTGATGAAATTTCAATAATTGATGGCATTCTCATGAAAGGTGATCGTATAATCATACCTGAAACATGTCAAGAAGAAATTCTTCGTCAGATTCACACTGGACATCAAGGCATTGAGAAATGCAGGCTCCGTGCCAGACGAGCCGTCTACTGGTGTAAAATCGACAAAGATATTGAGGATATCGTCAAGAGATGCCCTACATGCCAACACCACCAAGTCTCCAACTCGAAAGAGACTATCATTCAACAAGAAGCTCTCAGACCATGGGAAGTTGTTTCAACAGACTTGTTCTACTGGAACAATGCAAATTACTTGTTAACCATTGACAACTTCTCTTCATATTTTGTTCTGAGAAAACTATCATCAACTCGCTCATCAGATGTGATCAACAAGCTCAAAGTTATATTCTCAGAGTTTGGCATACCACGCAAGGTTATAAGCGACAATGGACCACAATACTCTTCGCAAGAGTTTGCTAACTTCAGTACCGAATACGGATTTGAACATTCAACAAGCAGTCCGCACTATCACCAAGCAAATGGCAAAGTTGAACGTTTTGTTGCCACTGTAAAGAACACTCTWCAAAAATGTAATGAAACAAAAGAAGACCCAGCAATGGCACTCCTAGCTGTTCGTAACACTCCAATTGCCTCTAATCTACCTTCGCCAGTACAACTCATGTTTCAACGCAAAATTGATGATGGACTTCTATTAAAATCTTCTACTCATGACAACTCATCTGAAGTTCTCACTCAACACAGGCAACGCCATATCCAACAATACAACAGCAAAGCACATGACAAGCCAGACCTTGAAATTGGCCAAAGTGTTCGCATACAAAACCCTACTACCAAACTATGGGACCCAGCTATTGTCACACAAAAGCTATTAGAGCCAAGATCTTATGAAGTGGAAGCCAGCAATGGAGCAACCTATCGCCGTAACAGAAGGCACATAAACACTACAGGAGAAGTCTTTACAAAGAAGGAACCACCGACAGATGATACACAAGAACCAACACCAGATGCCAAGCCCATTGTATCTGCTCAAGATGTTCCACCTGGAGCCACTATTACCCGATCAGGACGCATTAGCAAACCACCAAAGAAACTTGATTGTTGAACTTTATTTCAGACATTTATATCCTTGTTACATTGTTTAGTTATTCATATTTTTGTTGGACTTGTCAAATTATCAAGAACCTTAAAAAAGGAAGGAGGATGTTATGATATATATAATTATATGCATAATTATAATGACGTAATCCTGTAAAACCAGTCATGCGAATCAGTCAAATAAACATGGCGCTCGACCACTTCAACATTGTTAGCGACTGGTTTTGGCCGTACTATCCATTTATACTTGGACTGTTCAATCAAAAGTTGTGTTTTCATAAACGGCGTAGCTCAGACAATGATATTCTATTCAATCAATCTGTTCGAATGCCCCTGTTGAAAACAACACATGGTTCCACTTTGCTGCTACATGGGACAATAAAACGTTTGTGTTAAAACTATTTAAAGACGGCAAACAGATTTCAGAGAAAAGCATTCATCATGGAGTCACATGGAAGCCTAATTCAGAATTTATCGACTTAGGTTCAACTGGTAGGCATTCTGGTACTCGCCAGTTTCTTGGAGAAGCTATGGACCTATATATCATCGATGGTGCAATGGAGAGCAAACAGTTGATCGACCTTCGAGGTATCAAGACGAGATAATTATTATTTTTTTACTCGCTTTCCTTTTCAATATGTCATGAATGACAACATTCTTGATGCTGATTAGCAAAGGGATATGCTGTCTTTAGCATCGTGGGAGTACCTGACATTTGAAAGTTTTATGCCCGTGAAAAACCGGAAAAGTCGATTGTGTCCCTAATTTTCATTCACTGCTCAAATATGCAATGATATTATATTCACAACAAATCAGTGCTAGTATGTTGATTCAAATGAAAACGAATTCCACTCGTGAATTGTCACTTGCTTTCCTAAAATTGTACATACATTTTCATTGAAGTGTTCNCATTCATCATGGAGTCACATGGAAGCCTAATTCAGAATTTATCGACTTAGGTTCAACTGGTAGGCATTCTGGTACTCGCCAGTTTCTTGGAGAAGCTATGGACCTATATATCATCGATGGTGCAATGGAGAGCAAACAGTTGATCGACCTTCGAGGTATCAAGACGAGATAATTATTATTTTTTTACTCGCTTTCCTTTTCAATATGTCATGAATGACAACATTCTTGATGCTGATTAGCAAAGGGATATGCTGTCTTTAGCATCGTGGGAGTACCTGACATTTGAAAGTTTTATGCCCGTGAAAAACCGGAAAAGTCGATTGTGTCCCTAATTTTCATTCACTGCTCAAATATGCAATGATATTATATTCACAACAAATCAGTGCTAGTATGTTGATTCAAATGAAAACGAATTCCACTCGTGAATTGTCACTTGCTTTCCTAAAATTGTACATACATTTTCATTGAAGTGTTCTTGGATATTGTTTAGTGCCCTGCAATAAGAATTTATTTAAAAATAATTTCTTAAAAGTGTCATAGTCACGAGATTATAAGAAAAGGGTTATGTAACTGATGATGCAACCTAAGAATAACGGATCGTACTGTAGGAGGCTAAATAGAAGCGAAAATTGTATGTATACTACTATTGAGTAGCCTTCGACCCTAACCAAACCGACACGAAATAAACGAACTTCAAAAACTCATAAATAATTAATGAGTTATTAGGCCAATAGAATGACCCTATTTGGTCACATGTATGGATCTTTATACCTGATAAAGGTCACCCTTATTAGTATTCTTTATATAAAGAATACTAATAAGGGTGACCTTTATCAGATATAAATTCCATGACCCTAGCAAAGGTCTCAGGTTTGAAACTTGATCCTTGACCAATGCAGGATGTCAACCGATTACAGTAAACAGCAAACAGCGCTTCTATTTTACTTTATGCGTATTCAATGTGGGATGACAAGAGTGCTTTGTAAAGTGATTCGCGCATGATGAGTTTGCCCTATTTATCTCAGAACATACGGCAATTTCTCCAACAACTTTAACGGATTTGAGTTTCAAATTAGTGTTGGAATTTTTCAAGCCGTTTAAAACACTCGAGATCGTGTTTTATCAGGTATAAAGATTCGAGCCGAAGGCGTGTTTTAAACTATACTTAAAGTCAAGAGTGGATTTTTCTTGGTCATGAATTGCGACTGAACGATATGAAACAGATATTGTCCAAGTTTTTTTTAAGGAATGTATTAATGGTTTTTTAATAAAGGTATCCTATCTATAGAGGTTAGTCTAAACTCATTGGACTCACAAATTAGTTATCTTCTCTCTTCTAACTATAAATTACTTAATCTAGAACACCCATGTCAGCTAGGTAAGTCGTACCAGATGATGTACAGCGATACCATAGACAACCATGCCATTGTTGGTCCTCTGTTGAAGTCCATCAACACCAATAACCACAACGACTGCAAAGGTGCCTGCTTCATGCACGTCCCTGATGTATGCTACATGTTCAACTATTATCCACAGACCAAGAAATGTGAGCTGTTCTACAAAGATCGTGTGAATAAATACAAGGTAGAAAAGAGGAATGGATGTTACTTTAAAACCCGTGAGGTAAGAATTCACGTTATTATGACTGGCAACCAAAAGATAATATATATCACAATTTGGTCAATCAAATGAAAAATCTCTGGAGAGATGTAGATAACTGGTGCTCAGATCCAAGTTGGCCATTAGTAAAGATGATAGAAGTAATCCTCGAAAAAGTGATGTGAATTTGTCATCCACAAATGAACAATTTGTCTTTTTAGTGTGAAAAAAATTCGTGTGCTAGTGGCAAACGATGTTACTCGCTTGGTAACCAGAGTAATAAAGTCTGCATATAGAAAAAATAATCGACTTGTTGCGCAACTGCACATCAAGGTAAGTATTTGAATTGTTAACAGTTATTTATTCATTTTTTTATTTACTATAACCAAATTTATATAGTACATATTAGTTGAACGTTACTTTATAGCACATGCTCCATTCTTCATTTTAATGATCTTCATTCATTCGATTTCAGGTCACTTAGAATTTGAAAAGAAACAAAGAAGGAAATCTAGAAATGCAAATTTGCAATAGAATTAGACCCTGTCCACGCCATGACGAAAATTTCTGTATCACATTTTTTGTACGATTTTAGCTATTATTTTTTTTCTCATGCCTGCCTACCGTATCCTTAAATTTTCGAAATCACTTTTTGCAATGCATATAGCTATTTTAGCAAACGTTGAGTGCTGAAGGTATGGTATTCCAAGAAGGCAATGCACTATGGATAGTTCTATTTGAGTTAAAAAGGTATTTTCGTTGCTTGAGTAACTATACCGTCTCTGTAACTACTTAGAAAGCAATTTATATTAGAATTGTCATGCAGCGTAGCTAGTTTAATAGAATCAATGCATTTTGGTCTTCAAAATATTGAAATTCAGACTTTCACAAATGCAATTTCAAGCGTTTTTGGGCCTTTTGTTAACTTTTCATTAAAGATTTAGATGGAATTTAGCAGGTTTGGATTTAGAATTGTTTACTAGTTTCCAACCTTAATTTATGGCGCTTAATAAAATAACTGCATAAATTTTCTGGGAGAGGACCAGACTCCCTTAATACTCCCGCCTTTGGCGTTCGTTAGACCCCCAGTTCCAAAATATAGCTATTTCAAAAAAGGTTGTCGGACAAAATGGCGAATGTCAATGGTCAATCAAAAGTAGCCATGGGTTTTGCTAGTTGAAAGTAATAACAACTGATTTATACTATAAGATGGTCTGTTGTAAACACTGGCTCCATTTAGTCTCCATTTCTATGCAAGGTGAATCTAATAAGTGAAATTTTGTTTATCAAAACAGTGTAACCATAGCCCCTTTAGGTTGTGCATTCTCTTTTCGACAATCGCTGTTCTCCCCGACAAAGTTTTTGTGGCTAGTGCCTCGGAACGAGGCTCAAGCCACTATGCTATCGGCTTGTAAGTGTGTGTGTATGAATGTAATTCGGGATAACTCCGCTTTTACTCCGGCGCATTTTCGTTACTGTTCGGATACATTCGTAATCTGATTAAAAAGATTAGAATGCACATCCTCAAGAGAAAAGAGAAGCGTTTCTTAAAACAGTTGAATTCTTAATAGAAAATGATGAACAAATAACGGTGTCTGATCTGACAGAAAAATGAGTCACTTTTTGGGAGGTAGGGGGCCTATGGTTGCACCCATATAAGAGTAAAATAAAAGAACATTCAGGTCATTATTACAAATAACAGGTAATTTTCTAAGTACCAATATTCTGAAGTAGAAAAAATCCGGCAAATATTACACCTAACCACAAAGAAAACTACCAATTTTTGAAAACGTGGCACAAAGATGCTGTTTAAGCTAATTTTATTACCAAAAAATATATTTTTACAATCCCTTACAAGTAGTTAACTAATGGTAAAAAATTAAATGTCCTCGGAAATTTTGATGTGCAAATTTTCTCTGTTGAAATTACTTCGGTTCATACCAAATAACTAACTATGCAGTTAGGATCGCAGTTAGATTCTAACAGGGATCCTAACTGCATAAATAGCTAACCTCAAACTTATAAAGATGAACAGTTTAACAAGTGGGCGAATGTTCTTGCAACAACAATAACAACAACAACACAAACTATTGATCAAATTACAGATTACAAATTACTAATCAACACTTATACATGTAGGCATTAAATTAAATGCAAACTGAACAATTTTACACTTCTTGATTGTTTGTTAAAATGGAGTCATTGACACTGAAATGTCCAATAACTTTAAAAACTGGTATTGTTGTGCTCATGAATACATTTTTAAATTATTTTTGCTTTTTTTATTTACCTTTTTGTCAGAATCACTGCACCTCTTGAATGCATTGTTCAAGGTAAAGGACAACATGGTTGGAATTTATAAAGTCAGCTCCAACACCAGCCAATTTTTGGAAAAAAGCATGGAAGTTGACTAAAGTGGAGGAAACTCAGTGAAGAAGAGATTTTAAAGTAGTAACTGAAGTATARAATAATAATTATGGACACATTTTTAACATCATA